CCTCCTGGGTTCAAGCGATTCTCCTGCCTCAGCCTCTCAAGTAGCTAGGACTACAGGCATGAGCCACCATGCCTGGCTAATTTTGTGTTTTTAGTAGAGATAGGGTTTCACCATGTTGGTCAGGCTGGTGTTGAACTCCTCAGGTGGTGATCCATTTGCCTCAGCTACCCAAAGTGCTGGGATTACAGGCATGAGCCACCGTGGCTGGCATTTTTTTTTTTTTTTTTTTTTTTTTTTTGAGACAGGGTCTCACTCTGTTGCCCAGACTGGAGTGCAGTGGTGGTATCTCGGCTTACTGCAACATTCACCTCCCAGGCTCAAGAGATTCTCCTCCCTCAGCCTCCTGAGTAGCTGGGATTATAGGTGCCCACCACCATGCCCAGTTAATTTTTGTATTTTTTAGTAGAGATGGGGTTTCACCATGTTGGCCAGGCTGATCTCAAACTCCTGACCTCGGGTGATCCACCCACTTCAGCCTCCCAAAGTGCTGGGATTACAGGCGCGAGCCACCATGCCTGGCCTGATAAATAGATACTGAATAAATGAATGAAGTTAAACGGAAGTATAGTGAAGGCACTGGAATGAGAAGGCCTGGTTTCTAGCCCCTATTTCATCTCTGTGTGACCTCAGCAAGCCACTTTGTCTCTTAGATTCTCAGTTTGTTCATCTGTAAGGCGAGCATGACAACACTCTCCTCACACTGGTGTGAGGATTAAATGATATGTCTATTAAGAGCCTGGTGCAGTGCTTAGCACATAGTACAACAATCAACAAATGCTGGTGCTTTTTTTCCTCTTTGAGCCTCATTTTCCTCACAATAGGGTAAATAACATTGATTGTACAGTATGGAGTTGTTGTAGAAATGATATGAATTTACAAGTCTTTCCCTTCTCTGGACTTTGCCCATAGTATTCTCTTTGATCCTCCTCCTCCCTCCCCCATGTCTTCCTCCCTAGATAACCTCAGTTGTCACTTTCTTCAGGAAGCCTTCCCTGGGACCCCATGCTGGATCAGAGCCTCTTCTGGGCCCCCTTAGGCCCTGCATTTCTGTTAAAATAAACAGATATCATCATGGTTTCTTCATAGGCCCAGCGGATGGACGGATGAATGGAAGGATGGAAGGATGGAAGGATGGAAGGATAGAAGGATAGAGGGAAGGAAGGATGGAGGGACAGATGATGAAAGGAATCACGTGAGAGTGACTTCAACCAGCTCCACCAAAGTCGAGCACCCCAGAGGCCAGCCTCAGCTGCCCATTCCACTCCCCAACTCCCAGAGACCCTCCCCTGCCGCTCCCTCAACACCTGGTTGGCACCCATTGGCTCCTCCGTCCCGCAGCGCTCTCAGCGGTGGTGCCCCGGGATTGACTGCGGTCCTTATTATTCTCACTGGCCCCAGGCCTCGAATGGAAGGCAGCCAGGTGCGGGGATGCAGGTGATCTCAGCCCCTGCCCCTGGGTCAAGGTAGATGTGGCGACAGTGGGGCGGAGCTCCTGGCGAGGGCAGGAGTGCTGCGCTCCGACGCTGGGACTCGAGGCTCCACGGGATGAAGGGGCTGCGGCTGCTACCACTGCTGCTGGTGACCTTCACCCTGGGAAAGCGCGCCCAGCGCTGGGTTTACCTGCGCGAAGAGTTCGAAGACGGGGGTAAGCAGTTCGGTGCCTGGCAGCAACTATAGAACAGACTCTACGTCCTTGCCTGTCACCTGTCCCAGCGGTCAGGCAGGCCGACTTTCCCGGTTTGGAGCCCGTTTAGAGACAGAAAGACTACAGCTGAAATCTCCACCTGCTACCTCCTAGCTGTGTGACACTGGGCAGGTAGCTTACTAAGTCTGCATTTCAATTTTTCTCTATTAAATGAGGACAATACGGATCTTGCAAAATTGTTCAGAGCACTGAATTAGGTAAGGTGAGTAAAGCATTGTCCCTAGCATATAGTTGGCATGCAGTAAACGTTTGTTCCTCCTCCTTCATCCCAAATGGTGAACCTTGGAGGAAAAAGGGGATCATTGACTGCGATCGTGAAATTTTCTGTGTTTCTTTCTTTTCTTTTTCGTTGTCTCTTTCTTTCTTTTCTTTCTTTCTT